GCATGTTAAATATAGCTACTGGTAACATGCAGATGAACAAATCAACCATATTTAACCTGAACTTGCAATCATTACTGTAAAAACTGTTGATTATTTCAGCAGTACGGAATATTTTGCGAGTGAAAAACATTAGGATAGTACCAAGCTGCGTTTTAGTTTCATCTACATGTAAATGTATGCTTAGTAGTTTCCCTTTCACCCGTATGTTAAAATGAAGCAGGCAAGTCCTTTCATCTTGTGTGTGCTCCTGAAAATAATTTCAAACATGTTTAAAAAGAAAATTATTTGTCTACGTTAGAAGTTGTTACAAACATAATGACACTGAATGAGGTAGTCATAATTCATGCGTGAAAGGACTGATATTGATTTCTCCATAATTATGAATTAAGATGTTTAATCTGCAGCAAGATGCTGCATAAATCCATCAAAAATATCACAGTCTCTTTCAGACGTCATATGCTAATGACATGGATGAATTAATGCATGACCCTATACCAGTAATAACTTTGCCTCTAGGTCCAAAAGCAGGTGCTATTAGTGGTGCCGGCTGCTTAAAGTGGCACAGAGGACATCGCCATGTCTGTCTCTGCTTCCAGCATTGTTCTTGCAGCAAAGGAAAGCTGTAAAGCTTTTCTACTTCCTATCAGGGAGTCTTTCTTATTTGCATCCTCAGTGTTGCCAATTGAAATCACTCTCTCACTTCAAATACATTTACAGACCATGGGATAATCTTTTGCTAGAAACAGAAATAACTTCAAGTTTTTTCTTGTAAAAAAACAAAACACTAAACCAAATTTAGTAGCAAGTACAGGGACTCCAGTACATAGTACCATTAGTGGTACTTTATTGTAATTTAGCCAATTTGTAAGCATGATGCAGCACTATTAGTCAATAAGTTTACAGCAGATGCATCCTTTTGTTCTAAAACTTTAAAATTTGTTCTCCATAGTGTCCAGAGTCTGGTAATTCTTCCATTTATTTAATGTGCAGTTTTTATTCTATAACACCAGATGTATCTTTCCAGACACACATCTTTCTAAAATCCTGCTGTATTTGTTTTCATGTTTGTTTCATTCGTTTTAATTTGTACTGTACATACAAACATAAAAGCTTCATACATTTATATCCTCACTTGATTATCCTGAAGCAATGCATTTTGATCAAAATTAGACATTCATGTCTATTGTCGTCAGTGCATGTAAGAACATAAAATATTTAGATATTTTGTCAAAAGCATCCAACAAACAGCTTGATTTCTAAGCGCATCATCTTCTCATGTTTTTCCCGCATGAGGCTCAAACCTTGAGGACATTTATCAGACATTATTTGATTCACCCAGACCAAGTGCCTCATATACTGTACATTTAGGTGAAAACAGTAGGTACATTACAGTCAGCCAACCCCTTAAATGAGAGCATTCGCAAGAATGTCTTTCAAGCGTATCATATCTGATCAACACTTGCACTTTCCCCTCTGGCAGGTGGAGAAAGTTTGAAAAGAACATTCAGAACTCGCTTTAAGTCATCTGCATGCCTTGTGGATCCGGTTGCTGTCAATCGCTCGGTTCTTGGAGCCATTTGACATTCTGCTTGATGTTGGTGTGTGTCTGAGGTGCAGCAGCGACACTTATTGTTCATTATTTCAGAGAGAGAGAGAGCGCGGGAGAGAGAGAGAAAGAGATGGAGGATGAATGGGGGAGGGGGTAATAGGGTGTCAGTTTATTAATAGAACATGCGTTTTGTTGCACACAAACACCTAACAAGCACAATGCAGAATTCCCTCAAGTGCTTAAGGCCAGCAATTAAGTTTCCGAAAAAGCGGCAGCACAAAGAGAGTGTTTACTATCTGTATACTTCTGAGAGTTGGTGTTATGAGTCAATTCTACTTTAACAGGCTGAACGGCAATGGCGCTAAGGCAGCCAGGATTTCTCCTCGGTTCCTTCAGTATGCTCCTGTGATTGATTGAGTCACTGAGTAAACATGAATTAACCGAGAAATGGAACAAACACAAAATTTCTGCATTTTGGCAGATTCCATATTATACGTCGTCCTGTTGCTCCACAAACTTCAAAGTAGTTTTTTCCACATCTACAGACTGAAACTTTTACCAATTTTTCTTTGAGAAACAACTCAAGCTCAGTCAGATTTGATGGAGAGCTTCACCTTTAAAACCTCTGTTGGGGCATTCTTACACCTGGACTTTGACATCTTCCTATGAAATCTGACAATCTCCATTTCTATGGCAAATAAATAAAGCATCTCACAAAGCATGAAGCTGCCACCACCATGTATCACTGTGGAGGTAGTGAATCCAGAGAGAAGTGCAGCTTCGTGTTGACCAAAAAGTTCAATCTTTTACAACAGATTTCTCTCTAAGAGTTACAGGTGTAGCTCCTCCAAAGATCCCACTGTCATATTGGCTACTTTTCTTATCAATGTAGATAGACAATCAAAATCTGTGCTACTTTGTGCTGGCATACAACATGAAACCCCAACTTAAGTTTGTAATAGTAAGTTTGAGATGTGTGAATTATTTTTGGAAGCCACTGTAAATACATAAGTACGTCTTTCTTTCGTGGTCTATTATACTTCTCTCACACCAGGCCAAGTATTGATTTATGAGTAAATCACAATAATTTGCTGATATTTTGTTTTAAACTGGAAGTAGTTGAGCCTGAAAAACAAATTAAAACACAAATAGTGTTTTTTTTTAGCTGTCAGTGGCATCGATCTTCTCATCTGAGGGATGTTTTGTATCTATCTTGTATTTTAGTTAAATAATCTCTTTTGCTGCCATCAAGTGGTCTAAAGCTCTAATCACAGAACCAAAGTACAACCTTTCATGAACACCTGTAACCTGTTACCTCCGTGTTGTCAGGTAGCAAAGCTCTGATCATCATTTTGGCATTTACACGCTTTTTTGTTTTTCAAATGCTACAGTATGAATGCTGCAAAAACACAGACAGAAATGTTCAAAAGTCTGACATTTCCTCTTCATCCTCATGATGAGGCCAGCTCACTCTGCTGCTGTTTTCATCACCGTCTCTATTTTTCCCAAAACTGTAATCCTCTCTGAAGTTTTTTTTTTTTTTTTCGTAAATCTTGTGAAATGTGTTATTCTGCTTCTGGCTTCCAGAGAATCCAGCTTCATGCCTTGAATGTGTGAACAGAGGAAAAATGATCTTTTGCTTTGGTTGCTGCTACTATTTGGTTAGCAGTAACAACGTGAACAGTGTGATGTCTCCGATCACATCTGGTATGCATCACATACCATTCCTCCCCACTCTGTGTGCCTCGGGGGGAAGTCCCTGGCACTGCGGAGCACCCACAGTCCTCATTAGAGTGCATGTGTCATGATGGCATCAACCCACAGCCTTGACTTATGCTTTATATTTACAGTCATCCATCAGAACACTGTCATCACAACAGTCAAAAAACATGGGTTTTATCTTGAACGGTTGGAACTGATGTTTGGAAGTCCTGCTACGTTCGGCCTCCTCCAGGGCCTTTCTTCTGTCTGCAGCCATGTTGCTGTGTCCCATAAAGGGCTGAGATTTGAACTGGAGTCCCTGTCCTTTTGTTGTTCGCGGAGCTCCCTAACAGCACAGAGGAGGGACAGGGTTTGATGTGTCTTCTGAAGGCCCGCTGCTTTGTCAACACTGAGGCCCCTGCACTGACACTATGGAAGCCGAGCGCCTGAGGGTGACAGCGGAGGGGGGGTGGGTGTAGAAGGGAAGGGTGGGTCACCGCAAAAAAAAGGAGACAGACAGAGTAAGAGAGACTAGAGAGGCGAAGGGGGGGAAGGGTGCTTGCTAGTGTGGCCAGCGCCCAAGGCTAGTGCAGAGTGCTCTGTGCAGCAGACAGCCTGATAGGGACTGAGGCTGCTGGCTGATGACATTTTATGGTCACAACATGCAATCCCACCAACTTTAGCTGGTGAAAATCCAGTTTTCATACACGAAAGATGTGATATTTGCTCTTCTTTTGCTTTGTTGTTTCAGTTTCACATAGAGTTGATGCAGTTTTGCTTGTCTTTATGTTATTTCTTTTACAATATACAAAACAGTGGGGGGGTAAAACAGTGTCTCTAAAAATCAAGCCAAAAATCACACGTTCTTAAGTGTTCATATTTTCAAGTAATTGTTAGCATAAATGTTTCTAAAACAGAGATGAAACAATTCAGCTGGCATTGATCTGAAGTTGTTTAATTAGCAGAAGATAAAACAAACTTGCATAAAACAGTTTTGACAGAGAATAAAGCTGTAAAATTAAAATTAATTCTTAAAAAGCACATTAGGAAAATACATTTCCTTTAAGTAAATTATATTATGAGCAATTTTACCTGTTTATAAACAGTGGATACTTTCTTTGTCCAAACAGTTGTTTAAATATGTGCTATTTTAACCGTCGAAGTGTGTTAACTTTATATCTGAACTCAAAAATGAGTTGAAACAAGATGAAAAAATATTTTGAATACGCTACATTTCTCTGTCGATACGATTTAAAACATGAACAGCTTGACACAAGTTGTAATTGTAGATGATGAGAACCACTTAATGAATTACATTAATATTCTTCCATAATCTCTCAATAAAGGAACATTTTAATGTATTATAAAGGTCGTCCAAGGGCCAGAAGCAGTTTGTCTTTTTTAAGGTGTTTCATAACCTTTGAATTCTACACATCAACTTTTTCATCCACTCCTTGCCATCTGAGATGTTGCTCAGTATCAGTTTCTTTTTACAGTCCGATTGACAGCACGTGTCATCTCAAGGCGCGTTGCTAAAAACAAATCAATTCAATCTGATTATTCATACATTCAAATTGATCCTAGTTATCAAACAAAGCAGTAAGGTTACATTTATTATTAAAATTGGTTAAAGAAAATGTTGATTAAAGTAATCCCTGCATATTGGATCAGCCATTGACTTGCAGCATCCTCTCCTCCTAGATGAGCATGCAATGTCTCTGTGACTTTGCAGCAATCCCTCATGCCAAGCATGCATGTAGCGACAGTGGAGAGGAAAACTCTCCATTAACAAGAAGAAACCAGCAAATGCTTGGACACACACTAATCAGACCAAACATTATGAGTGCTGATAGGTGAAGTGATTATGTCTTTGTCATGGCAACTGATTGTCAGAAACAAGGGACAAGTGAAGATTTTGCCTCAATAGATAATGTGTTAAAAGCTGCGGCAAATGAGCAAGGTGAAGCCTTTAACTGGATTAAATGAGAAACACATTTTGAGGGCCAGACAACTGAACCATAGTGTCTCAACACTACATATCAAAATATGTCTAAGGAAGGAACATTGTGAACAATCCCATATATGTTATGTACTGTAAAAAAGTCAGAAGACCTACAGCATCTACTGCTAATATGTTGGTGCTTCATACCATCACAGAACTGGATCATACTTCATTTGACCTAATGTTAGCCTTTCTTTCCGTCAGATACTGTACTTCCATCAATTTTTTTAGTCAGCCACAGTTGGTTTGAGGCATTCTTTACTTAAACTGTTTGGTCAGTAGGTGGCAGTGTGTAGAATGAGACAAAACAGAGAGTCCAATGAAGTGACATTAAAAGCAGGTATATCATCCACACTCGTGCATACAGAAAACAACTTCTGAATAGATTTCTACTGCAGCAAAAAAGGATAATAAACAATTTAAACTTACCCAAGTTTCTTCTTGCTGAACTTAAATCAAGTGAAGAAACTAATATTTTGGAAAAAGGACATACTTGTACAAATTACAGGTCAATAACTGATTGTTCTGAGTTTTCTGTCTGGCTGGGTGTTTGAGCAGATTTGAGCAGCTGCAGTTTCTGAGATGGAAAGATGGAGTTCAGCTCACAACAAACTCAGGAACAAATCTGGAGAGTTAGAAGAGGAGGAGGAGAGAAGCTTTGGGTGAGGAAGGCAACAAAAACACTAATTTGCAGAGGATAAACAATAAAAGCGAGATTAAAAACAGGAGGGCAGAAAAATATGTGAGTTTATTTTAACTTAAATTGCAGATTATAATTCCTGTGAATCGGCTCTTGGATTAATTATATGCCTACAATTCACAGTAAAGAGTGAAGAAAACAAATATTAATGGTTACATTACAAAAGTGCAGTGAAACAATAACTTATACTATAAGTATCTAACCTCCTGGTGTTTTTTGACAGAGTTATACAGAGCCAGTCACTTGTGATGTATTTGTTTTTTGCGGTGAATCACAGTCTGAATGTGTTCTCCATCCTTCGGGGATCCGGGCAGGAATGAGCCTGGAGCTAGCCGGAGGAGCTTCTTGCTTCTGGGAGAGCCTGATGCAAGGTGAGAAAACAAGTCGCTCACTTTGTGATAAGTGGTCATAAGTACCATAAGTTTCCATTCTGCACCCAAAACTACTGCTGACGGTTTCGTACATCATGTCTGACTCCTGTGTATAATCTCTGCGGTGAGTTGTCAGTTTGAGCCAGAAATCCTGTCAGTTTATTGCTCTGCTATTTGACATCATCTCCTGCTGAAAAAGGAATAAAGTAGGCGACAGACAACAAGTACTTCTGGAAAACTGTCAGTTTATTCTTTTGCCTGATAACTACTGCAGTACTTTGAAAAATCATTCACAGACTTTCAGCTTTCCACACAGTTTTTCACATTCCAGCCACAAACTTCAATTTATTTAATGTCAAAGATGAAGACAAATTAGTGCATACTTGTGAAGTAGACACATCTTTCAAGTTTTGTGACAGATTGCGGATCGTAATTAGGCCTGTCAAACACTCCAACAACTGAATATGGTCTGATCTTAACCGGGGGGGTCGAACTCATTTTCATTTCAAGGTCATGAATGTCCTTAAAGTGCTGGTTGTGGCAGAATGTGTTAATAAAACCACCCAACAACCAATTGTTTATATATTTAGTTTCTCTGCCTTTGGTGAAAACTTCTGAAAGTGAAATAATAACTGAAGTATTTCCACGCTGATGTAATCTTGACCTATTGGATTGTTGTCACATTTGCCTGCTATGTGAACATGTCATTGAATGCACCATTACTTTTATTGTTTATCAGACAGTCCTTGAGAAAAATTAAAGATCAATTGGAAAAAATCAATTGTCATATTTTGACAATGAACAAAATATACCAGTAAAACCACCAAGAACTGGTGGAGAATCACGAAATGTGACATCTAATTGAGATTATTGCCTGCACATGAAAGAAACTCTTCAATCATGTCACAGCTGAAACTTAGGAGTGGAGCAATTTTTCTTTAAATTGATGCCAGAAACTGGTAGATACTTCCAAGAAATGTCTAAATTAAGTTATTTCATTAACTTATTTCTAAAGCGTGTAATACTGCCAATTTGATTGAAGGGTGTTCTAACCTTTTTTTTCAGTTATAAAACACAGTTTCGTTATTTTGTTCAATGAATAAAATAACAATGCTTATTATAAAAATGAGATCAAACATTGAAATGTAAACATTTCTTAGTACCAAATGTTTTCTTAAGTTGCTTTCTGGGATATTAACTGCATTAGTGTAATATACTTTGCTCTTATCAAGTTGAATTTAATTTTCTTGTTGACTTTAATTAAAACATGGTGCCATGACAACATATTTCTCCCTTACGTTTGCTTTTTTGTTTAACTTACATGTTTTAAATCATTAAATTAATTTAAATAATAAATTCATAAATTGCAGTTTTTAAGGGAAGACGATAAAAAATAAAACCTAATAACTACCATCAAGCAGCTGGAGCAAAAAAAAGTATTTTATTTCTCTTCACAGCCACATTTGAGATTTGGGAGCATGTATGGGTCATTTCAGGTCAGTATTTCCATCTGAGATGTTCAGACTTTGAGTAGGCCACTTCAAAAGCATCGTGGTAGAGTTTTTGTTATGTGCTTCAGATCATTTGTCCTGACGTAAATCCCCAATGAGATTCTGCTTAAGGCCACAAGCTGATGGCCGCACGTTCTCCTTCTGAAGTTTTTGGTGGACAGCAGAATCCCTCAAAAACCGCAAGTCATCCTGATCCTGAGGAAGCAAAGTAGCCCCTTACCACCACACAGAATATGACTCCATTTACATGGCACGTCATCAAAAATCTTACCTGAACATTAAACTTCTTCTTTCTTTTATTCATGGTTAGAACCTGTTCAGGCTTCCGCTTTGCTTTCCTTTCCTTTCCTTTTTTGCGCTGGAAGTTCTCGTCTTTGGAAACTTTGTCATTGTCTAATGAACACTACCACACTGTGCCCTGCTCATGAGCGAGCTGCTGTGAGTCGGCATGGTGCACCTGCCGTCTGCCAGGCAGCCACAGCGCTGCAGCCAGCCTCCAGGCGCTCCTAGATAACTCCTGTCTGATTAGCTCCTTAGGAGGACATTGTTCCAAAAGCAATTCACTCGACTCCCAGTATTAATTTAGTCCCAAGAGAGAGGCCCATCCATCCTAGGTGGGACGAGCTGCGCTCTGGGCCTGCCCTTCGGCCTGCTAATAGCACGGCACCTCCTGGCCTGTCACTATAAGTGATAGTCTCTGCAAGTTTGTTCCCTCCTTGTGTGTTTCTCCCATCAGGCATGGCGCCCACTTCCCTCCACTTCCCTCGTTGTTTCTTTCCCCCTTTATCAGCTGTGGTTTAGGGCAGGTGTCTCTTCTGTCACTTTCATCACTCACGCTGCTTGAAGAAGGGAAGACACAGCTCTGAACATGATGGGAGAACGGGGATGATTCATTAAAAGCTCGCCTTCAATCTTTAAAGGGAGCAGGAGAGGGTTAAAGCTGGTGGACCTTTGGATGTTTGTGGGAGATGAGAGGAAACCCATACGTCTACTTTTTCACAATTTGACATTTGGAAAAAAAATTTTGCTTAATGGAAACACGCAAATTCTGAAATAACTTTTGTCTTTTGATCAAAAGTTTTGACGTTGGGACGAGGTCGTTTTTTGGCCACCCTGAAATTAGTTTATTTTTGAAAACTGCAATGGAAATATTAAAAAAAAAAAAAAAAAAAAAAAAAAAAAACATGATTCACATAATCAACAACCGGATGTTGCCACTGCAGCAAACCACAAAGAAGAAGATGACAGGAAGTAGTTGGAGAATCATGATGCAGGATGTTTTTTAATGGCTTATCCTGTGAACAAACTCATCCACGTGTGATTTTAATCACATTTCTTATTTAATAGAAACACTGCAATTGCAAAATTCAACATTAGCAGAATATTGACAAAGGCCTGTGCACATTTGTAATGGAAAGTCAGTTACTGGTGCAATCTTCAGGAATACAGATACATAGTGCCTTTTAAAATTACTTTCCATTTTTTGATATTTTGTCACATTATACCCACAAATCTCAGCATATTTTATTGGGGTTTTATGTTATGAACCCTAATACGGTGCCCAAGTCCAGTCCTCCAAAACCGTAGTTCAACAATGTTTGGATGCATCTGTTCTCCAAAGCATCTGAATAAAATGGATGAAATCCCTCATCAGCAGGTCATTCAGTTCTGCAGCAGCCTGGTAACAAGTCACTTATTTGATTCCAGTGTATTTTCAAAGGGATGCAGCTAAACATTGCAAGAAAATTACCAAAACCATTTTTACTTTCATTCACTCATTTTCTGATGAACTCTGACCAGCTTATTGGTGAGAGATGAAGAAAAGCATTAGTGCAGGGCTCATCGCTGTCCTGTCAAAAAGATTTCCCCACATAAACTTTGAATCTGAAGCTCCTGCAGAGTTACCATCTTTTTGTCTGATTAATGCTTTCGTTGCCACACCTTTTGGGTTAACTGGGGAACTTTGTTCCATATGCTTTCCATTTTCTCATTAATGGATTAAAAAGTGATTTATAACTTAACAGGATTTTTCTTTTCCTTAGCTTTATCCTTTGCCTTTCTTTCATGTTTCTCAGTCTTCATAAAGCTCTCCTGTTGACTAATACTCTCAAACAAACTGCTAAGGTCTTCACAGAACAGAAGTATTTATTAAGTTAAATTAGATGACTTCTGGTAAGTAGTTACATAAGACTTTATTTAGGGGCATCAGATTAAACAAATAAATGTTGAATGATAAAAAATTGTTGGTCACACCAAATACCCTTTTCCTAAGAATCCACACAAAAGATAGCAAAAGATATTATTTTTAATATTTGAAAACTCGGGTTTCTCAAGACAAATTGGAGTTATTTGTCAAACTGTTTCTTCCTCACGTTTCTAAGCACCCTAGATGCTGGTATGTGATGCCTTTTGCACAGCCAAGAGAGTTTGCATCACTGCATTCAATACTGGAACATTGTGCTCCTTTTAGGAGGGAACAGTCAGGAACAAGTGTTAAACACTGCAGCATAAAATCAGCTGAAAAAAAGCTCACCCACCTCTGTTCTGATGCCATGAAATGAAAGCAAGTTAATTCATTCAGTATCCATGTCAGATGTCTTAACTGTGAAAATACGCAAGTTGGCTTGCAAGGGTCAAAGGTGATTTTGAAATAAAAACATGTGATGCGTAATCACGCTCTTCTAGCACTCTCATGACAGAGTCTTTCCTTCCTTCTCCTGTCCATCAACATCATCATCCAGATGTTCGCCTCAACTCTCGGTGTGTTCTCATATTAAAAATACATCCGCAATATGCTGTCATTAAACCCGAGGGGAGGCATGATGGTATAAATACGAGAAAGCAAAGCAATGCGGCATTTTATCAGCTCAAATGTTTCAGGATTTCTTGACAGTTGTGTCAGCTTAGTAGCAAAACTGCCTCAAGGTTAAAGAAGCACTCAGCCCACAGTAGCTTGCGTGACCTCATTATAAAACCTGTGTTTATTGATTCGACTTCATCAAAGCTGCTGCATAATTTATGTCTATTTCAGTGTGTAGCCTAATTAGAGGACTTTTGTGGATGTTTTAGTGTCAAGATAGCAGACTGACAGATGCTGACGGCAAATTGCTTGAAAAAGTGCTCATTTCTATACTGTGCATACCTCCATGTCAAAGACTGAGCATCACTCTGGGAAACGCGGTAGCGGTGTTCGGCGTTAGCAGCATATCAGATGCAGCACTGCCATCATGTGGCTGTGCTTCACATGTCCTGGGAAAAATGAGAAAATACTGTTCGTATACTGTGTGTTAACAGCATGCATGAAAACATAATGAAATCTGCATAAAAACAGATCTGGCAACTGAAAGGGGGAAAAGAAACCACTGATTATTTATTTAGATTTAATACCTGAGAATAAAGACTTTTCAGTTACACTTTGCAGATAATATCCATGAACTAAATTGAGGTTTTAGATGAGACAAGTACAGACAAACTGCAGGGTGATAATATTTTTTCAAAGCCTTCACTGTGACATTAGCGGTGACTCTGTCCAGGAACTGGGGAAATTCATTTTTTTCAGTCTAAATATGCTCATAATAAAGATTATTTTTTTTTTTTACCTAAATAGGATTATTGGGAAGTGTACACTAAACATACATAACGTTGAAGACTTCTTTCCTGATGGCCGGGATTCAGGATTGAACCGTTTCTGTGAAAACAGTTCAGTTGAATTCAGTGAAGTTTATTTATACACAATAAATATCATCTCAAGAAACTTTACCAAAAAAAAAAAAAATTAAGACCTGAAATGGTTTGAGATATCAATAAGACAAAATCTCAATGTAGCTGACC